GCCACTGTTGGCATATGGGTCCGGCACCCTACCCACTGAGCCACAGGCGCAGCCCCAATGAGATCTTTTGGATTAACTTTTTATTCTTATCAGGAAGTTAGTGGCTCCTGAGATACTTGAAATTATAAAGAAAATATTGAGTGCATATACATTTTTCTAAAAGAAATTCCATACTTTTGTTATACTCACCTAGGGCTTTTGAATCCAAACATTTAAGAATTAATACTCTATAATATGAGGCCAAATTTTGAATGTAATCTTAGAAAAACTATAGTTCACTAGTAAAGGTTTTCCAGAAATGTACTACCATATGTGATATGGTGTTTTGTCATATCACATCTGACACCATGGATCTGACACCACGGGTGTTGTCTTTTTGCCTGACACCAATAATCAGTTTTCTTTCCTTCTTTCTTTTTTTTTTAAATTTTGCTTTTGGTTTCAGCTGTTATAGTTTGAAGTTGTTTTTTTAAAATTTTCTTTTTTTCCTTATTTATTTTTTTATTGAGACAGAGGCGTTCACTTTGTGCCCCTTGGTAGAGTGTTGTGATATCATAGCTCATGGCAACCTCTACCTCTTGGGCTCAAGCGATTTTTTTCCCTCAGCCTCCCAAGTAGCTGGGACTACCGGCGCCTGCCACAACACCTGGCTTTTTTTTTTTGTAAAGACGAGGTCTTATTCTGGCTCATGCTGGTGTCAAACTCCTGAGCTCAGGGCAGTCCACCTGTGTCGGCCTCCCAGAGTGCTAGGATTATAGGCGTTGAGCCATCATGCCCTGCCAACAACCAATTTTCTATTGAATACCTGTACTCTTTTTTTTTTAAGTGAGTTACTCTGGAAGTTTATTTGTTCCTTCCTTTTTGTTATTTATATGTGTGAATGATTGTAAGGCTGGTGGTTAGAGAGGGGATCATTTTGACTTCAGGGATATTTGGTAGTATGTGATTATCACAACTAGGGGTATAGAAGTTGATAACAGTATCTAGAGCGGTGGTTTTCAACCTGCGGGTCGCTACCCACAGGAACTGTATTAAAGGGCTGGGGCATTAGGAAGGTTGAGAACCACTGATCTAGACAGTCTCTAGGTTCTAAGTAGGCTACTAAAAATCCCATAATCCACAGAATAGCCCCCCCAGCAAAGAATTATCTGCCTCTAAAGGCCAGTCTTACTGAGATTGAGGAATCCTGCTGTAGCCAGTTTGGGAATTACCAGTGTTTAGATGGTATTTGAAGTTTTGAAGCTATGGGGCTAAAGTCACCTAATCTTATGACTGGCTCTTCATCATTGGAGTCTTATCTGTTTAATTGATTTTTGTCATTTTGACAGATAAAGAGAAATCCTTCTGATTCCTTTCCCCTCAACCGTTTATTGAGAGACTAAACTGTAGCCATCTAAGCTACCTAAATATATTTGTTAGCTATAGTTATTCTATGTGGTTTCAGGAAAAAACCCTATAAACCAATACTTTATAGTTCTGACCTATATGGAGGACTTTCTAGACTTCGAGTAAAAAGTATTTATATTCAACATAAAAAGAGTTGTGGAAATTGGTTGCATAACAGTGTGAATGTACTTAGCATAACTGAAGTGTACACTTAAATATGGTTAAGATGGTGAGTTTTGTTAACCGATATGTAACCACAATTAAAAATATATACTTGTATCCAGTTCTTCATATTTCCTTATTCAGTGTTTCAGTGTATTTCTCTAGGACTTTTGTTCTGTTCCTTTTACTGTTCTCTCTTGGTCAAAAGAGTTTATGATCTCTCAGGTGATTTTTCATTCTTCTCCAAATGCTCCTTAATTTTTAAAGGATACAAATATGCTTTCCTCTTAAAGATTTCATAATACTGTATTGATGTGCAATTGGATGAATTTCAGCTTATGAAAGTTAATTGAGGCTTGGTGCGTGTGGCTCAAGTGGCTAAG